ATCTTACAAAGGTCCCATAATTAAATCAGCTTTGCTAAATAGGTTGTATCGAAGACATTAATGGCAGTGTCGACTCAGTCGACTAAACAAACTATTTCTCATCTCGTTGGAAAATTCTTTGTGAAATGAAAAACTACTCATTCTCTTTTCCTATAAAAATCCTAATCTGCGCCGCCCTCCAAGTGATCACTTTGTAACCATCGGGAATGTTTGGCGTCGCTCGTTAGCAAGTTCTTTCGCAAGAAAGGTAAAAACGCAAAACGTACAGAATGCTAAGAATACATTAATGCAACTTGCCCACCTCAATGCAAGACGGCTTGAGTACTTTATTTGTAGGGTTCTTATTCAAGTCAAAAATTGTAGTTGATTTCAGCACACCAAGAAGATCCAGAAACGTTTTGAAATTGGAATTAAAAATGCGTCGAATCTGCCCTATCATATTTTAGAAATGTACAGTTTCAATGATTGCATATTATCTATCCACTTAGTTGCCACACAATCGATGGAACTAAAAAAGGAAAAAGTGTAAAACATATGTAGTTTTGTCTTTTAATTTCCTCGAGATTTTTAATTCAAATTAGTAGAATCAAACATTAATTACTGAAGAATGTCTACATAAACACCAAACAATTAGCTGAAATTAATGAGACGCTGTGCATATGCAATACTTTTACATTAACATACATCCGTGATTTTTAAAATGGGCTGCGTACTTAAAATTAAGAAAAACCGCCCCTTACTGCTCTATTAATGTCCCTAAGTTTTATTTTGACTTTAGGTTAAGAATCAACTGATGAGATCACTATGGGTTGTCTACCTAGCATTATCCCACTATACCTGCTTATAGCAACAAAAACGCTATCATCAGTGAGTTCGCCACATTCTTCCAAATCCTGCGAACAATCATGTTGGACCAAATCTGCACTGATGAAACGATTGTCAGCATTGATGGCAGATGCTACTCGTTGAATTGCATCAAGAACGGCATCATCTGAGTTGATAGAATTCCTAGTTTAAGGACTGTAACAGTTATCCGCTCTCAACATACCTTTAGACGTCAAATGAACGTCTATATTGACATGTAGTGCATGAGTACTGACAAATGCATTTGTTAGAAACAAAATGAAAACTGTCACAAGCGACAGCATTGCCGCTGAGGTCGACTGATAAGC